GGGGAGGGGCAGAGAGAGGGAGACAAAGAATCCAAAGAGGGCTCCACACTGACAGCAGAGAGCCCCATGTGGGGCTTGGAACTCACAAACCACAAGATCACAACCTGAGCCAAAGTCGGACACTTAACCAACTGAGCCACCCAGGCACCCCTCCAGAATCTAAATTCTCAACCAGAGCCTGAACACCTCAACCTCCCATTCTACCAGGGTCTGTCCATCAGAACCAGAGCCTCCTGAGGGCTGACCCCACATGTCCTTCCTCTACAAAGGAAAAGGGCTCTTCCCACAACCAGCACTTAATGCACACAACTAGAGATGATTTAAGAGAGGAACGCTCTCAGTGGGCTACCCCAGGGGAACTGGTCCTGTCTCGGCCTCTGCTAAGCAAGCCCTAGCAGAGTGTCCTTGCAAGGCCAGGGCACCACTTCCACCTCCCCATACTGTAATCCCTGGCCCAGTACCTCTGTCGTAGTATACACTCATGTCCACATCCCAGTCATCGGCTGTCTGTTCATCAAAGTCTGCAAATAAAAAGCATCAAAGAGAGTAAACTAAGGATTCGCAGTTCTGTTGAGAGTTAAATCTAGACTTAGACATATGTTCTAGAACTTGGGGCTCTTTTTTTAAATGTTTATTTTGACAGAGAGCAAGAGTGAGTGCACACGAGTGGGGCAGAGAGGTGGGGGGAGAGGGGGAGACAGAGAGAGAGAGAGAGAGAGAGAGAGAGAGAGAGAGAATATATCCCAAGCAGGCGCCACACTGACACAGGGCTCAATCCCACGAAATATGAGATCACGACCTGAGCTGAAATCAAGAATCAGATGCTCAACCGACTGAGCCACTCAGGTGCCCTTAGAACTTGGGGCTTTTGATTATATTTTAAAATATCTCCGCTGGGGGGCATTCAGAATTTGCAGGGGCGGAGGGCATTGTTTCCTCATTCCACTAATCCGCCACCCCCAAAAAGGATGACTGGCCTCTCACACACAATCAAGGTAAGTCTCTTCTCTAGCCCCATATTTGGCCTCCTTGCCAGAGAATACCCATGTGGAATGGAGAGCCCTGAGTGGATGCAGCAGGGGTCACTCCTGCCCTTGCCTGGATGCCAGCATTACCTCCTTCCTCCTCCTGCCAGAACTGGGCATCAGTGTAGAATACCAGGCCGGAGCCGCCCTTCTCCCACTTGAGCTCGATTTCCTCCTCAAAGAGCCGCTCGGTGGTACGTTCCTGCCTGGTCACATCTTCATGTAGTGCCTCATGACGCTCCCACTCCTCACCGCGGTCATCGTCCTTGGAGAAGGTGGACAGAGGCGATCTGTCTGTTCAGCATCCTGACCTCATGCCCACAAGGAGGGCAGCTCAGAGCACAGCAGGCTCCATTCCTCCAAATTTCTCTTAGAAGCAGCACACATTTGGTCCTTGGAGCCTTGCCCAACACATCTCTCCATCCCGTGTCACAACACTTGGTGCCTTCCCCCAAGCCCAACTCACTCTTATCCCTGTGCTTCTGGCCATGCTGTTCCCCCTGCTGGGACTATCTGCCCTCCTCTCCCACCACTTTCTCTTCACCTGGTGAATCCTCATCCCTCAAGTTCTACAGCCCACGTGAAGCCCCCACACTGAGGCCACAGCACTCTCGCTCGTCTCCAAACTCCTCAGTTTGGAGGTAATCGGTACACGCTGTTTAGGTCTCTATACGTTATGTCGTAAAGAAAAAAGGGACAATAAGTAATACCTATTGTCTACTGTGCGTCAGGCCCTTCTCATAACTTAGCTCCTTTAATCACCCCAACAGCCCTGTGAGGTTGAGTACCATCATTCCCATTCTACTGATGAGGAAACCTGGGTCCAGAGGAGTAAGGTGATTTGCCCAAGATAGTACACGGAGAGTGGCAGAGCCAGCATTCAAACCCACGTGGCTACACCATACAGCCTTTCCAGATGCTGCTGCTTTTTTCTTTTCAGGCAATATTAAGGCTCTTCCAGGGCAGGAAATGGATCTTGGAATGTCTCTGGAATCCTGCGCTAGCCTATGTGTACAACTGCTTGCCTAGACTTGCAGAATGATAGGATGACTCCTGGCTTGAAATCTTGGGGGCTCCTGTCCTAGTTAAACTCCAAGAAGCCTCAGGAATCATTGCTGCAGAGCAGGCGCTGGGAAAAGTCCAGAGAGTACTACACTAAGGATGTGGTACAGATGTTAGCAGCTCTGGGCTGGCGGTTGGAAGACACAGATGAATTATTGTTTCACCCAGAGTATGCACACGCACAAAGTTTCCCCCCAAAGCACACCTTTCCTAATTTTATGGATGAACACCCAAATCTGGAGAAAGAGGCAGAAGAAATGTCTATCGCACATGATAAAAAATGAGAGTGGAAGCTGGTGTTCAAGCCACAGACTCAAGGTCAGAAAATAGATGTGATTTCTCAGCCACGTAATAAAAGCACACAGAGGTTAGACAAGCAGCAAAGGGGACCAAGTTCACATCCCACATCTGCCTCTAATTCCTTAGATGATTTTACTTCTTGGTGGGTACATTTTCATCTATGAAGAGGACCCTCCTTACATTCCTTCTAGAGAATGCAAAGAAGGTCCCCTTGAGAATCTTCCGATAAGCTCTGGCCTCTCGCCTCAAAGAAATGCATATTTGCACATGCAAATGCAGTTTTATAGTTTTATATTTAATTGCAGGGAGTTCTAACTCTTTGGAATTCTCCTGAGAACCGCCCCACCCCCACCCCACCCCACCACCAGGTTTAGAACTATTGTAATACACAACTGAAGAGTGGTAGTATCTTGATGGCCAAGCCTCTCTAAGCTGCCAGCAAAGAAAGGGTAGCTCGCTCTACTCACGTCATCTGAGTGTGACTCTTCTTCCTCCTCCTTTTCCCCTTCCTCCTCTGGCTCTCCATAGGAGCTGGCTGGTATGTCCGCCAGGCAGCTTCCTTGGGGTATTTCCTCGCCTTCGGCGGTATACACAAGGTCTTCCTGCTCCACAGTCTCTGAGTCCTCATACTTGAAGGGTACGTTGCCATAGCGCCGGGAAGAACCTGTCTTGGGAAACTGGAGCTGCAGCTGGGTGATGATCCGAGGGGGTAGGCGGCAGGCCCGGATCAATTCCAAAAAGACCCGCAGAGGAGTCCCCACATTTCCATTGGGCATCAGCACTGGTGGGTTCAGCTCTGGCAGTTGCCTCAGGTCAGCCAGAGTAAAGGCTTCACTCTGAGCTTTCCGACTCTGCAGCTCCTTGCGGGTTTTGAAAGGAAAGGAGCCGAAACCTTGGAAAGCAGAAGAAAGAATGGCTCTTGAAACCTCGAAGCCTCCAGCAACACTTGAGCCAGAAATTGGCTCAGATCTTTTAGCCTAATGCTGTTCCTCCCTTTCATACTTTTCCAGAGTAACTTCCTCCATTTCCTGACCAGAACCACCTAAAAATTTCATGCCATTTCTCATCACCTTGGCTGAGCACACAAGTTTCTTTTAGATCTGGTTCCTGTCGACTTTTTGATTCTCAACTGCCACCAACCCCCACTCCCTGTGCATCCTCAAACCATGTGCTTCAACCATACCAAACAATTTAACATGCCCTGAAAGTTCCATGGACTTTCACATCTCTGTCTGTGTCTCTGCAAGTGCCATTTACTTTGACCACCGTTCCTTCCCACAAACTCCTGTTTATCTTTCAGATCCAGATGAAAAGCCACATTTCCTGATCCCTCTAGGAGATCAGTTTCTCCCTCCTCTGTCATCTCACACTTGCTGATACAGAGCATAGGTTCTGGGTCAATATGCCTGGGTTTGTACTGTGACCCTGCCACTTCCTAGCTCTGTAACCTTGGGCACGTAACACACCTTCTGTATCCCTCAGTATCCTTACCTATAAAATGGGTAACAATAGCTCCTACCTTATAGGATTGTTGTGAGGAGTCAATAAGAAAATGAAAGGCTTCGAACAATGCCTAGTAAGCACACAGGAAGTGCTCGGCAAATGTTAACAATTAGAATGCCATCTCTGTGACAGTTACTTTTTTACAGATCTGTTTTCCTCTCTGAATCCTGAGCACAGCCTATGTCTGTTTTCTGCACAGCAGCGAGAATCACACTGGGTGAGCACAAAAGCTAGATTTGTCGAATAAATGAATTAGAGAACTCTGCGCTGTTCCCTGCCACCCATCAAAGTGACTTCCAGAGCTGTCCAGAGAAAAGAGATTGTCTTTTCATTTGCATCTTGCCAAGAGAGGGCTGGGTAGGAAGCAACAAAAAAATGTAATAAAGACAATAAGTGAATAAGAAGCCTCGTTTCCCTTTTTTCCTTCTGTGTCAGTGCAATATCGACCTCTCAGAGAACAAAAAAAAAAAAAAAAAAAAAAAAAAAAAAGGTCTCAGAAGAAATGTAATAAACTGGAAAAAGAAGGATCATCCCAATAGGCCTCTTTCCGTACCCTCCCCCCACGACCTCCACCCCTAAACTTAACATGGCGTTGAGCCTGAAGCTCTGTCCGGCAATGACCTAAACTCTTAAAGAGCCTGATAATCAGAGACCTGACTTATCCCCTCGTGAAAGGTGTCTCTGTTCCAGGGCCGGTAGGCTTAGTCTATTATCTTCCCCATCCGTACCTGATGCCTCAGTAGGTAGCCGAAGTCTGCGGATGTAACAACGACCCGGCAACCAAGTCCCCTGAGTATCTAGCCACCGGCGGCCGGAGTACATGCGAAGAAACTGCTGGGCCTGAGCTGTCCCCCGTACCGAGATGACGCAGCAGCAGGTGCGGGTCTGGGCGGGAGCAGAGTCCGGAGGGGAAAGAGTGCGGGCATCGGTGACTGAAGTCTGGGCGAGAACCTGGCCGATAGGAGTTGGGGCAGAGTCGGGAGAAGCCTGGGAAGGAGCCCGCTCAGGCCGATGCCGGTAGTGGAAACACAGGAAACCACAGCCGCGCTGTTCTCGGAACTGGCTAAAGTAGTTCCGGAGATGGGCAGAGCGCAAACCCGAAGGAATGCCGCTCACTATTAAGTAGACTGTGGCCTCCTCCTCCGCCTCGCTGGGCACCGCCATCTTGCGTTGTCACATGATCGGCTGTTTCCAACTCTCGCGAGAATATCGCGGCACCGAGGCCGCCGTGGTGCAATGATGTGTAACTGGTGATTAGTCCGTCAGGTGGTGGCTGAGGAGCTGAGAAGGCGCGGGATTTGGGGTCCGTTTCCCACAGAGAGCAGCCGGCGATGATGAAAACATCCCTTGGGAAATGTGTTTACAGATCGCTTTCATAAGACTCTGATGATGATAAAATTAGAAGCCTGAGGGAGGGGTACTTTTTAAGATTTTTACTTGTTGGGGATTTCCCACACCTAATCTCAGTTTTCTCAGTTTAGAGACATGTTAGTGGTTCATCCACTTCTTCCAAAGCGTATTCATGGACTCCCACACATCTCTAAGAAAGAGATTCCAACTGAAAAGTGGACTAAACATCCAATTAACAATGAAAGAGCATCAATCGCATTAATAATCAAGGAAATCTAGTGAGACGTACTTAACATCCACCAGATTGGCAAAAATTTTTAAATCCTAGGTACTGGTGATAGTGCAGAGTAACTGGATCTCCATGCACTGCTGTGGAGTGGAAACTAGTACAACCACTTTGGAAAACAATACGACATAACCCAGTAGAAGGAAGTGAAGCTACCCATATTCCACTTCTCTGTATATACTTAAATGTTTGCATATGTCCCTGTATTGACAATGTTGAGCTTCACCCAGCCCTGTGATCCTGGAAAACGGTGAAGGTTAAGAAACCCGATCCCACCCTTTTGTGTTCTAGAACACAGCTTACTGCAAAGAAACACGCCTCCTTATATGACTTAGATAAAACTCACGGGTGCTCCCTTGTGTACGTATGTATGTCAAGGCTAGCCACAGACTCCAAATTCCAGTCTTTGCCTTGTAAACGCTTAGATGAACTGCTTGTCCCCACTGATCAATCAGAACCAAATGCTTGTTAACCAAACTTTGGTTAAGCTCCTCTCCTTCCCCCAAGTCCCTGAACTTTGCCTCCCCCACCCACCCACCAAGTGGTGAGCCAGCGCACAACCCCTCCTGAGAACAGGCTGGGTTCAGGGTAAAACATTTTCTGATCTACTGTCTCATCCTGCCATTTCTGATCACCCTACTTCCTCAGACCCAGTTCTTTCTAGCCCTGTTTACTCCTCCCTATGAATGATCCACTCCTCTTGTCTCAACCTTGAAGGCACGTGTAGATCTTATGGTCCCATGGCAATAAGTTTCTTCTCCATTGCAATAGTTCCTTTCTTCGCTTGCAACAATCATTTAAAAAGAAGTCTCTTCTTACTGAGTCCAGATTTGTATTTTATATGACAATATATATGAGTATTCATAGATGCAGTGATTGTAAGAGCAAAAAGTTGGCATTTAGTACGATTTTTTTTAAGTTATTTATTTTGACAGAGTGCACGAGCGGGGGAGGGGCAGAGAATCCCAAGCAGGCTCCGCACTGCCAGTGCACAGGCCAAACCCATGAACTGTGAGATCATGACCTGAGCCGATGTCAGAAGTTAGATGCCTGACTGACTGAGCCACCCAGGCGCCCCCGGCATTTAGTACTTTTCAGCAGGTATATGATGATGAGGGAAAATGAGCAAGTAGGAAATAGAATTCTTTATATAAAGTTGAAAAATACAAACTAAAAACTACTTTTTAGTGATACATCAATAAATATTACTTAAAATAAGAAAGAAAAGTAAGGAAATGATTAACCCCAAATGCAGGGTAATCATTACCTTTAGGAGGGAGGTGACTTCAAAATTTATGGGACATGATGAGGGTTCATTGTACTGTTATCCTTTACACTTAACATATATTTAAAATTTTTTTTATTTGAGAGACAGACAGAGAGAGAGAGAACGGTGGTGGGGCAGAGAGAGAGAGGGAGACAGAGAATCCGAAGCAGGCTCCAGGCTCTGACCTGTCAACACAGAGCCCAACATGGGGCTCAAACCCACAAACCATGAGATCATGACATGAGCTGAAGTCGAATGCTTAACCAACTGAGCCACCCAGGCGCCCCTATACTTAACATATGTTTTGTAAATGCTATTTTGTTTTACTCAATTTTAGTAAAACATCTTAAAAGGGAAAACAATTCATTTCAAAAAACAATAAAGCAAATGTTTACTTTGTGTTGATCACGAATAGACACCTGTTTGAGGGAAAAAAAGTTCTAATGGGAGTCTGGGTAATTGTGGATAGGATCATTTTACATACCTGGATTTTAAAATCTGCTGATGGAAGTGTAAATTGGTACACCCATTTTGGAAAACTTGACCAGATCTACTTAAGTTGAGCACACATTCTATGACTTGGTAATGACACTTCTTGCTATACAACATCAGATCTGCAAACATCTGTGCACCAAAAGGTGTGTGCAGGAATAGTCTCAGAAATATTATTTGAGGGGCACCTGGGTGGCTCAGTCAGTTAAGCGTCTGACTTCAGCTAAGGTCATGATCTCACGGTTTGTGGGCTCGAGCCCCACGTCGGGCCCTGTGCTGACAGCTCAGAGCCTGGAGCCTGCTTTGGATTCTGTGTCTCTTTCTCTCTCTCTGCTCCTCCCCCACTCACACCCTGTCTCTCTCTGCCTCAAAAATAAACATTAAAAAAAAAAGAAATATTATTTGATGAACCAAAAGGGTCATCAGCAGTATCTTGGATAAGTGAATTGTAGTGTAGTAATGGGATACTTTACGGCAATGAATATGAATGGGTCAGAATGACTCTCAGACATAATGGAAGTGAAAGACAAACAAAAGAGTATATGCTGTACGGTTCCATTTATACAAAGTTTAAGGCAAACAGTCTCACTTATGATGCTGGAAACCAGGGATAGTGATGCCATTTAGTGGGGAGGGGAAGCGTGGTGATGAGGATGGTTTCTGGGGTGTTGCTAAAGCTCTATTTCTTGAGCTGGGCAGTGCTTACAGGGAGGGGCTCATTTTGTGATAACTCATCAAACTGTACATGCGTGATTTGTGTGTTTTTCTGTATATTATACAGAAAAGGTTGAATTAAAACCATATTTTGAAAAATCTGAAAATAGAAAAGTAAATGCGTTACAGCAAGCAAGATGTGAGCTCGGGAAGCGTTGTTAGCTGACCCAAGAAGGTATGCACTTATGGTTCCACACCATTGCCACTGTGGGCCTAAATTTCCAGAACTCAGTCTGTAGTAGACTCAGTAAATCCCCGCTGATTCAAAGAATATTCCTGGCACTAACATGGGAATGTGCCATTGGGTGTGGCTGGGGACTGTCTCCAGGGAAAGGGGGGCCACTTCCCTGGGGGAACACACAGGCCAGACTTCTCATCAAAAACTTAAACCCAAGGGTAACCGAGGCTACATTTCCCCTCTCGTTCCACCTTGTAGTGTGGTGGGGAAGGGAAGGGGTGTTAGGTACTGTCATTTATTCTCCAGTTGATCATCCCTAGCCTTTTTTAAAAAAAAAAAGATTTTATTTTCAGTAATCTCTACACCCAGCGTGGGGCTCAAACTCACAACTCCAAGATCCAGAGTTGCATGTTCCACCGACTGAGCCAGCCGGGTGCCCCAGATAATCCCTGGCCTTTAAAGACACAAGAGGGGCGCCCGGGTGGCGCAGTCGGTTAGGCGTCCGACTTCAGCCAGGTCACGATCTCGCGGTCCGTGAGTTCGAGCCCCGCGTCAGGCTCTGGGCTGATGGCTCAGAGCCTGGAGCCTGTTTCCGATTCTGTGTCTCCCTCTCTCTCTGCCCCTCCCCCGTTCATGCTCTGTCTCTCTCTGTCCCAAAAATAAATAAATGTTGAAAAAAAAATTTAAAGACACAAGACAGCCTGGTGACTAAGAGCATAGGGCCAAAGTTCAGGCCATTTGAGTTTTAATCCTGACTGTACTTATTAACTGTGTAACATTGAGCAAGTCGCTTAACCTCTCTGTGCCTCAGTTTCTTCATTTGTAAAATAGAGACAATGATGATAATTCCCTCACAGTTATTGTGAGAATTAAGCAATGGAACCCATGTAATATGTTGAGAGCATCACTCTCAATAAATGTTAGCTGGTTATTATTTAGTAATCACCTAGAATGACCTGCCAGGAATGAATGAATGATCCCCTCTGTTAAACCTGATTCCCCTGAGATCTTAGCCTTGTTGCCTCCATCGGTTTCACTGGGATTGCCTTTCTCTGCTGCCTTGTTCTGTGACATGGTCCCTGTCCACCTTTCTAGGCCCATCTCTTGCTGCCCTGGGCCCAAGTTGCTCCCAGACCATCTGCAGTTACCTGAACCCCTTGCTTTCTGTCACCTCTGTGATTTTGCACCTGTCATTCCCTCTATCTGGAATGTCCATCCCTTGGTTACCTGGCAAACCCCTGTTCATTCTCTTTAGCTCAGAGCAGTGACCACTTGGCTGAAGCATTATTCCACCGCCAGGCAGATTTAATCACTCTCTCTTCTGAGCTCCTGCTGCCCATTGAACATACCTCTATCACATTTCAGATCACTCTGTGTTACAATTACTTATGTGTCTCTCTCTGCCAACGACAGGATGTTCAGTGAATGCAGGGACTGTATCTTGTGTATTTTGTGCCCCTTAGCATCTAGCACAAGGTCTAGTACAAGTGATCATCAAGAGAGATGTTGAATGATGGCCTGAATGGATGGATGGATAGTGGGTGTTGGCTTTTTGCTGGTATCATAGGTTCTATGACACCGAAAGTCAGGGTGTATTGGCACATGACACAGCACACATCAGCTCAGTGCCTGACTGCTTAATAAGCAGTCAGTGATTAGGCTAATAAAGGTAGAGATAATGGTGATAATAAAATGGCACCCAACGCTGACCCAGAGCCACAGCTACTCTCCTGATTCCTAGTGAGTCATCCCTGGCTGGGCCTGAGCACAGGGATCATGGCTGATGGTCAGTAAACAGTGGCTGAGCTGGCTCCAGACAGCCTGCTCCTGGCCATGACTCATGCCAGCCTATGCTGGTGGCAAGGGCCTGGCCTCCACAGTCACACAGGCCTGAGTTCAAATCTCAGCACAGATAGTGATCAGTCATTGAGTAAGTTGCATACCCTGTCTGAGCCGGTTTCGTCCTCTTCCCTCTCTGGTTATGAGACACAATTCCCACTTGTAAGCTGCTGATAATGGAACACTGTCCCCCACCTTTGGAAGGCCTGCTGTTTCATGGAGAAAGCATTCTTGCTCATATTACATTGTATTATAATTCTCTCTTTAGTCTTGCTAGATTTGTCTTTATCTTCCTTGCAGAAGGTTTGGACAGGGCACAGGGAGCAACACAAGAGATACAGATGAGAAACAGACAGAAGTATAGCTCCATGACCATGTGGAGGGGTAGGGAAGAAGTTTGCGAAGGAGGAAGATAGGGCTAATGAGGGAAGCTATTTGGATGATGGAAACATTAGATAAGTTGAGGGAAAAGGCTGGGGTGGGTAGTGGAGAGGAGCACTTTCTAATGGCTGTTCACGGTTGGAGGAGGAAAGGGCAGAAAGATCCAGCCTGTAGGTTCAGAGAGGTGCAACAGTAAACTAACAGAGGCAGTTACTGAAGGAACATAGAAGATAGAATGACCTGAAATCCAGGAATCCTCTGAATTTGGCTCCTATGGGGAGACAAGGCATCTGCTCTTAGAAGAGTTGCCTCATGCATTTGCAAGGTGAAATGGGCGGTGTCTGTCAAAGTGCTGGGAAGGGCAGGGCAGGGAGAGGTGACTGGCGGCCCAAGGTCTGAGTTGGGGAGTTCTGGTGGGAGGTTAGGGGGCAAAGGAATGCAGGGCCTGTTCTGGGTTCTAAAGGATGCTTCTATTTGGGAATTTGATTACGTCCTGGCTTGGGGGAGCTGTTGAGCAAATGGCCTGTCTGAGAGGAGGGTAGATGTTGGGGGTCACCATGGGGAAAGGGGGTGATTGGTTAGTTGAGGCCCCAAAATGCCAGGCAGTTTGGGGCTGGATTAGCAGGCTCTGCGTAAACCATGAAGATGTGCAGACACAGGTCTGCTTACTTTGGGGGCCACTGTTCTCTTTCCTGTGACCTACAGAACATGGAGAATATTCCCCAGTGGGAGGGTGTCTCCATAGCGTGTGCCCCACCCTTGGGCATAGGGATGTATGTGTGAACATCTGGCTTGGGTGCATGTCTCTATTGTCCTGTGTTTGGGTCTGCTGTATGTCACTGAGTGAGTGCATCTTGGCTGTGCTTTTCCATGCTGTGTGTGAGTGGATGGTGGTTCTGTTTTATGGGTCTGTAGGTGTGTCTGACTTGTACGTCTTTGTGTGTGTGTGTGTGTGTGTGTATGTGTGTGTGTGTGTGTGTGTGAGAGAGAGAGAGAGAGAGAGAGAGAGAGAGAGACAGAGAGAGAGCTGTAGGTCTGAGTTGTATGTATCTTTGTTGTAGGGTGTGAGCTGTGCGTTTCTGTCACTCTGGGTGTCTGAGTGGTGAGTAGGTGATTGGGTAAGGGATGGGGTGCCCTTGCTGTGGCACTGGGTGCCCAGAATGGGTATATGGTTAGTTCCCTGTGGTCCATATCCTGGGGGCCTTCAGCAGAGGCCTGAATGACAACTCTTCAACTGTTGTCCCTGAGTGAATGACCTCTCATTGAGCAATAATTAACTTGGCCCCATGAAGAGAATCCAAACCGGTGGTGAAGGGGGTAGGACTAGTAGGGGCAGGCCTTATTGCTAAAGAAGGAGGGAGGCCTGAAAGGGGGTCCTATAGGCATGCGTGTTGTTATCATTCCCTCCTGCCTGCAGGTCAGTTACCCTAACCTGGGTGATATTCAAAATATTTAACAAACACTGAGGGCCAGACATTGACCAATCAGAACAGACACAAGCCATGCACTGAATGGAGCGGTCCCGAAGGCCATGGCTATGCCAAGCATTGCCCCTCTAGTTGTGGCCAATGAGAATGGATTCCAGGAGAAGGGCTGGGACAGGGGGCCACGGAAGGGAACTCGGGGGTAGGGGGGAGCTCAGGGCAGTATCTGTGAACTAACTGCCATGGAAGTGTCTCAGACTTGAACATCTGGTGTGGCAGCTAAACCTCAGCCAGCCTTGGCCTCCAAGCAGCTGCACCAGGTCAACCCTAGATGCCCTTGCCCCTCCCATTGGGAGAGCAGTGGACTATCCTCTTCTGTCATCAGCATGGGTGGTGGAAGTGAGCGACCCCAAACTGCAGGAATTCCAGTGACCTTGTCTGTTTTAGTTTAGGAATGGACTGCTTCGTATTCCTCACTGGCTGTGATCTGACGCTCGTTGAGGTGAGAGGGAGCCTGTAGGGGTCAGAGGTCAAGGGAGGGGTCAGTAGCGGATTTGGGGAGAGGGAGAGACACCCCCAGCCCCAAAGATAAACGCCAGGAAGTGAGGGGGTCCTGAACTGATCCCATCCCCTGGATTCAGACCTGTACAAAATAAATCTCATCCCCCAAAATGAAACAAGCATTCCACACCAAAAAATTAATATCCCAGTTCCCCGAGTGGCTCCAGCACTCCTTACGGTTTCTTTCTCTTGGACTCCTTCTGATAGGGGCAGGGTAGACCCTGGAGGTGGGACAGTCTCTTCCACATGCACAAATTACAGTGTCAGGCTCCAAGGGTGTCATGCCTTTTATTACAAAAACCAATAACTTAGATAAGTTCTATACAAAGTCATTAGGACTCTTGGCCCAACGGGTCATCTAATCTTCCATCCCCACCTCGGGAGGGGACAGGAATCTTGGCCCAGAGGCTCTAAAAATCACTAAGGGATGGCCAGAGAGCTGGAGCACCATGTCAAACCAAGGACGGCCAAGGGGACAGGTGTGGTGGGTGCGGAGCCCCAAAGCCCATCTTGTTGGGCGAGGACCAGCTTACTCCAGAAGCGCTGCCTATACAGACTTGCCCCCTCTGGGAGCATTAGGCCACCCCCGGGAACAGCTGGGCCAAGTCAGCGCTGCCAGCCTCCGCCCAGCCTACACTTGATCTCTGCCTGGGCTGGAACAGGTTGGCTCAGCAAAAGCATGTCCTCGAGGAGGCCAGCGATGTCAGTGTCTCCAACAATAGGGCGAAAGAAGAGGTCCCCAAGCAGGCTGGGCGGAATGGACTTGAGGGTGGAGGCTGTGAGGAGGACACGGGCCAAGCGGCCCTGGCCTGCTGGGCACCAGGTCTCCAGGGCCTTGCACAGAGCATGATGAGCCTTTTGCTGCAGGTGTCCAACGTGGGAGGAGGCGTGGAGGCCCGGCACACCTGTGGGCAGAGAAGGTGAAGAGGGCTGGTGAGTACCCCACTCCCAGGCAGCAATTCTGGCCCAAGCCCTGAGGTTGCAGGGTTGGCCATTACTACCTCCCCCATTTGTTTATTTATCATTTTATTTATCCGTCCATTTGTGGGACAGCCCAGAGTAATGGGTAAGAGCCAGGCTGCCTGGGTTTGAATCCCGCACTGTCACTTATCAGTGGCATGGCCTTGGATAAATTGATCTCTGTGCCTCAGTTTCCTCGTCTGTAAAATGGAGATAATAGTACCTATCTCCTAGGTATGTTATGAAGTTTAAATCAGCTAGTCTATGCAAAACCCTTATAATTGAGCCTAACATATGGCAGGCATAATATGAATATTCATTACTATCACCATAGTTACTATAATTTAGATATTCCACTAGGGCTTTTTGGGGAGGAATTCTCATCTCACATTTCCATTCTTCTCTATGGGGTCCTCCTGAACCCACAGAATTTTCTGTGACGGAGGCACAGCTGTGTCTGCCCATCTTCCCGCCCCCAACTCCCACCTTCCCTGAGGGTCAGGACACTTTCTTAGATAGAGTGGCCAGGGCTAGTCTTGGGAATGAATAAACCTAAGTTCCCATCCCTGCTTTGCCCCTACCTGGCTGTGTGGACCTTCAGCAAATCACTTAACCTCTCTGAGCCTCTTTTGTGAGGTGGCTTTTTGGTGATAATGAGGACCCAAAAAGATAACGGACGTGAAGCCCTTAGCAGGTGCCTTCCCTGGCTGGGCCCCAGGAGTGTCTAGAAGCTCACCAGGATTGAAGAGGATGGTCTCTTTCAGGTAGGCATATTCCTTGGGGCCCAGCTGCAGGCTCCAGAAGGACTCCAGGCAGCACTGAAGCCACTGTACCGCAGCCAGCGAGGGCTGGGGTCGATCTGGCAGCTGGCCGCTGCCTGAGCTGCTGCTGGGCTCCTCCAGCAAGATCTTCTTGAGTATGCTGGGAACTGGTGCCTCAGCCACCTCGAAAGTCACAGTGTCTTGGGCCAACCCCAGCAGGAAGAGGGGGCCCCAGCAGCCCCGCAGCAGCCGCTGCTGATCCTGGGGGGGCAGTTGGCAGAAGGACGGCAGGTTCCTGAGGAAGACCACTGTTCTGGCCAGAACATCCAAGGCTTCCCGGCAGGTGCGATGGGGAGCACACAGCCGGACAGGCCGGTGCTGCCTGCACAGGCAATGACTACGGGCTGGGGGCACAGAGGGCCTGGCCCTGAGGCTAGGGCTCAGAAGTGCGTACAGAATGGCCGGGCGGCCTGCAGCACCCCGACACGAGCAGGTCCCTGGCTGGCTCGAACTCATGGTTGGGGATCTGCTCCTCCTTCCTCCCAGCTCTCCCGCCCTCTGCTCTGCGCTGTGGGTGCTATTTATAACCCCAGTGGGAGGGAGGGGGGAACAGCCTGACAACCTTGACTCCAGAAGTCATGTTCATTGAAAAAAAAAAGAAACACTGCATTGACCCTGCAGGATTGGTGGGGAAGTGGTGGGGGAGGGGGCTTTGGGAGCTCCACGTGGCCCTGATATCACTTTAGTCAATGAAGCAGCCTATGCAGGGTACAGGACTGCCTGCTCGCTGGCCCGACTGCCCCTTATCGGATGACTCAAGTGGATAAACAAGGTCATTAACCCAGGCTGTACCAGGGCACCAAGGCCTCAGGTGCACCATCAGCAGGTGGTCATGGCAGGTTTCCCTATTGGTGCCTGTAGGACTCTCACTAAGCTGGGAAGCCAACCCCAGAGCTGGACAAGCCTTGAATGCAAGGCCCAACCTGGAAGTGCCTTATCACTGACTTGTTTGCCTAACCTTGGGGCTTTGCTCCTGTTGTTGGTAAGGAACAGGCTGCAGGGAAGGGAGCCAGGACTCTGGGGGGCTGGGAGGACTTTGCCCACTGTGCACACTAGGAGGCCTCCCTCCTCTGACTCCAGTTCTGGGGGGGGGGGCTGCAGAAATAAGGTCCTGAAGAACTCTCTCTCCTCAGCCTGGATTCCTAAAGCTCCCGAAAGGCTGTGTCTGCTGAGAAGCCCTCCTGGAACGATATTGAAATATGGCTGCTACTTACTGAGCACCTCCTGTGGGGCAAGAACTTTCCAGTCTAATATTAGAGCTTGCCTATGAGACAAGATTCTTACTTTTTGAAACTCAAAGAGGTGAAGTGACTTGCCCAAGGTCACACCACCAAGAAGAGACAGAGCCCAGATCTGTCTGACTCCAAGTTCCTCGCTTGTTCCCCTGGATCCGCTGGCCCAGTTGTTCAGCCAGATCTGTGTAGCCTAAGTTTTCCAGAGCTGGTGGCTACCCGGGTCTCCACCTCGCAGCTACCTGGTCCACAGATATTGCCGATTTATGATCCGGGCAGAAACGCTGCTCTGCCGCCAGCCACGTGGCAACTCTGTCCCGGGCATCTGTCTCAGGACGGTGGGGCATGGGGTCGAGGAGAGGGTGGGAAGGTCCTCGGCTGTGTCGTGTTCATGGACCTTGGCAAGCCCAGCTTGGCAAGCCTTCTGCTATAGCACACGGTTGGGCAGCCATCACCATCCCTGGCACGTGCTCCTGGCTCTGTCATTTTCCAGTTGTGTGACCTTGGGCTGATCCCTTAATCTCTGTGGGCCTCAGGAGCTTCATCTGGGACAATAACACAGTGAGGTCCTAGATGTGAAATTCTAAGCAGTTTCTGGCATTCGGTAGGAGGACTTTGCTCCTCCCTTTCCTCTGCCTAAGGAACCAAGCCCCAGCAGACAAACAGGTGCACATCTTTCATTCGATTGTGAATAATCTTAATCCTTACATTTGTAAAGTTCCTTCCACAACCTTCCACAACTGAAACCTCTTCAGCATCCCCTCGAAGGAGACTGGAGTCAGACCCCTCAGGTTCAAATCCTGCCCCATCACTTAGCGTCATTGGGCAAGTCACTTTACATTGTTGTGCCTCAGTTTCCTCATCTTTAAAAGGTACAAGAAAGGCCAATAGTGCATATTGAGTTTATGGGCCCTGAAGCTTCTACAATTTGGAAGGCCCTCTTTAGGAATAGAAAATCAGGTATGAAAGTGAATATTTAAAGTGAGAAAACATGGGGGGGCCTGGCTGACTCAGTCAGTAGGTAGAGCATGTGACTTTTGATCTTGGGGTTTTAAGTTTGAGCCCCATGTTGGGTGTAGAGATTATTTAAAAATTAAAAAAAAATCTTTGTTTTTTAAATGCTTATTTCTTTTTAGGAGAAAGAGTGTAAGTGAGGGAGGAGTGGGGGGAAGGGTTGGTCAGAGGATCCAAAGAGGGCTCTGCACTGACAGCAGTGAGCCTGATGCAGGGCTTGAACTCACGAACTGTGAGATCAGGACCTGACCAAAGTCAGATACTCAACCGACTGAGCCACCCAGGTGCCCCCCAAAATTAAAAAAAAAATTTTCTAATAAAATGAGAAAACTAATCGCTGCCAATTACAAACTTAAAATAAGCTGACAGAAAAACATGAATGTCACAAATCCGGGAGAATAACACAATACTTTGATTAATTGCTTGACGATATTTGCCTACGTGTTTTAGCTGCACATTCTTTGCTTGCCTCTTCCCTTCCATTTCCCATCTAATCTCAGACCTCACTTAAGCTTCAGCAAATGCTCTAGAGGAAGTATTCCAGAGACAGGGCTCCGTCCACAATCTCAACGCTGCATCTGTCATGTCTCTTTAGTCTCTGTCAGTCAGGAAAAGTCCCTCAGTCTTTCCTTGCCTTTCACGACCTTGACGCTTTTGAAGAGTTGTAGTTAGTTTGTAGCAAGGCTCTCAATTTTGGGTTTGTCTAAGGCTTCCTTGTGATTAGACTCAGATTATGTACCTTTAGCAGGAATATCACAGAAGTGAGGTGTTCTTGATTCATTCTATCAGATAGCACACATTTCCATCTGTCCTGTGGTTCTCATTGGTCACCCGAGTAAGGTGATGTCTGCCAGGCCTCTCCACTATACTTACTCTCTTCCCCTTTGTAATGAATCTGTAGTTTGCGAGGAGGTATTTTGAAAATGTAGATACATACCTTCTCATAGTTTGAATGCATGTATGTGTGTATTTATTTATGAACTCATGTTCTCCTATTTTGTTTAGCGGCTTGTAATCTGTTACTATAGTTATTTATTTGAATGCTCAGATTGTCACAGATTTGGCCCACGGGAGCTCTTTCAAGCTGGAGTCTGTCCTTTTGTCATGCCCCATCATTCTTTGAACATCCTTTGTTTTCCGGTCTAAGCAGATACCTCTTTTCAACCCCTGCAATCAACCAGTACTCCAAGAAGCTCTGGTTCAATCTTTTAGTGGAGAGGAGTATTTAAAAACCATGATCTGGGTACTGGGAGGGTAATTAGAAACCTGGACTTGCTCACTGTTATGAGGGTGTCACTGCTCCCAGGCCCTTCCAGAATTAAGGAGAGTACACACCCCCCCACACTTACAGTTATATTTATTTCTATATCTATTTATACATACTATAAAACATGGGTTCAGACTATTACCTGCAATTCGAATCTACTATAACAGGGTTCATTCTCATTCTCCCCTTTTTATATTTATAACTCCCTTCTCCAACACCGAGAAATCTGGCTTTCATCATTCTGAATTTATTCACTTATTGGATCTATTTATAATCAGTCTCCCATATTTACCACCACCCGATTCCCTACGAAATGCCCTCCTTATCCCACTTGGGCTCTGATAGCTTGTGTCTGGCTGCCCCCTCCCACTCAGGGACACTTTCTTCACCTTGCTGGACCCCATGCCATATGGCCACCTTCCTCACCCTGCTGGGGCTCTGACTTTTGCTCTGGGCCACTGTGGCTCCCTCCCCCTTATTTCTTCAGGGGCACCTGGGTAGCTTATTTGGTTGAACGTCAGACTTCGGCTCAGTTCATGATCTCACTCGTGAGTTCTAGCCCCACATGGGGCTCTCTGCTGTCAGCACAGAGCCCGTTTTGGATCCTCTGTCTGCCTCTCTCTCTGCCCCTCCTCTGCTCATGCTCTCTCTCTCAAAAATAAATATTTTAAAAAATTAAAAAAATTTTAAAATAAATTCCTTCAGTGAAAATGGAGCGATGATTCTGTCTTTCCTCTGGAATGGTTGATCAAAAACAGGTTTTATTCTTTTTTTTTTCTTTTTTAGGAATAAAAACATGTCTTATTTTTGATAGCCAGGATACTTCACACAGATGTTTCTGATACTTGTAGTCGTGCTTATAGGTTTGTAGTAGGAATTTTGATAAATTCTACTTTGCATAATTACTATCAAAAAAGAAATATATGCGTGGAGTATTTATTTATTTAAAAAAATTTTTTTAACGTTTATTTATTTTTTGAGAGAGAGAGACAGAGCACAAGCAGGTGAGGGGCAGAGGTAGAGGGAGACGCAGAATCCAAAGTAGGCTCCAGGCTCTGAGCTGTTAGCACAGAGCCTGACATGGGGCTCGAACTCACCGACTGTGAGATGATGACATGAGCTGAAGTCAGACGCTCAACCGACAGAGCCACCCAGGTGCCTCTATGCATGGAGTATTTATAATTGTATATGCTGCATATTCTTTATAGGAGAGAACTTCCATTTTGAGTTGGCATCACTATGAAGTGACAATTTAATGATGATTTAAAGAATTTTGTACAGATTTGCTTCTTCTCTTTACATGTCCTTCTTTCTCCTCCACCACCCAGGTTCTTCCCAGGTGTCTTGGGAATCACTCATAGTGGGAAGTGGGATAGAGTGGGCAAAAAACAGTGCAAACAGTGGTCTTGAGCAATTATAATTTAAACTTTTTATTTTTGCAAAATAAAAAGAATATATATATTAAAGCTTTAATTTATTTTGAGAGAGAGTGCACAGGGGAGGGGCAGAGAGAGAGGGAGACAGAATCCCAAGCAGGTTCCATACTGTTAGCTCAGAGTCCAATGCGGGGCTCAAACTTGAACTCATGAACTATGAGTATTTATATCTCTCTATAAAATATCTATATCTATAAAATGTATCTATAAAATATCTATAACTATAAAATATCTATAACTGTAAAATATCTATAAAACGTTTATAAAACATCTATATATCTATATCTATATCTATATCTATATCTATATCTATATCTATATAAAGAAGACCTTGCCCAGCCTCTTCCCAAAGCATTGGATGTGCAAGTGAAGGGCGCTGAGGTTCAAGTTTCATTAGATTCACAGAAAATATGCCTCTAATAACGCCTTTCCTAGGTGTTTTTCAGGACACAAAGAGCCTGGCACACAGCAAGTGCTCAGTAGAGGAAGGGCAGTGGTCATTATTAT